CCCTGAAACAACTTCTGGACTGAAAAGATGTGTCAATCATGTGCTATCAAAATCTGAGGAACGTATGAGCAAGAGACGAATTATCTTTACCTTTGTCAGATCCATTCCTAGCCTGACTTGTGATAACAAATGAGTAATAACACTACTATGTTGCTCTACTGCATCAGCTGAAAGACAGGACATCATCATAAATACATTGATTCCATTGAGAAATATTTAAACAATGAAAAACAAACTTCAAAACCGGTTCCCATGTGATGCCTTTCTGGGGAACAGYAACCCATCCAACACCCCCTTGAAATCGTTTTGGACCCACCACTGTTTTTCATGTCTATAATATGGATTGACCAAATATAAGGGATACTTGGTGGAATTTGGTCTTAAGGCATATTTGGATATCCTAAATATTATTAGGGCTATTGGTATAACATTCTTGATAATTTATGTAGAGATTAACACATGTTAAGAGCTTGATATTGTTTGTATTCACGAGTTTCCATATCATATTGTGAACAAGCGAGTCTGCAAGCAAGCAAGTTGAACGATGTAATATTGAGAACTTGAGAATAAAAAAGATATCAGGCTCTTAGCATGCAGCTAATTCGTTTATTACGCGATTAGGTTCGATACAATAACGAYGAAACTCACAGTTTACAGTTTACCATGTAATAGGTGTAGCCGAGTGATTGTATATTTGATACAACACGGACACGAATACTGTATATGACTTATCAAACGTCTAGGTTAGCTCCTTTGTGTTTCACTAAAATTTTCAAAATTAAAGTGAATTTGACCAAGAAAAACCAACTTAAAGTTTATGCAAATGAACACAGTTTTGTATCAGATTTACAACACTCTTCACGGTCGTGATTTCTTTTGTGTTTTCCTCATGCATTATTCATGAGTTTGATAATAAGTGATATCGTATCATTTCAGTGATATGGCTTTATCTCACTGATAGGGAAGACAAATCTGTAATAAAACTAAATATCTCACCTCCTAACTCTTTCCCATACACATCCTCATCCATTGGCTCATATTCGTCTTCATAACAAGAAAAAAGGTTCAGATATTTTAAAATGATAATTAAGTAAAATATTAGACTGCTTAAGGTGAACAGTTACCACAGTTTT